AACCTTTGTGCTCGGCCGCCTCAATCTCAGAGCCTGGCGCCCTGCACTTTGGGGTTTTACGCCCAAGTTTTGTGCTCGGCAGCCCTCCGTCACAAGCGGCTCCCCGCAATCCCAAGTCCCCAGGGAGCCATGGACAGACTTTGGGCCCAGAAACCCCATAGGCCTCCATGCAGAGTTGGGTCTGCCAGTCTCCAGAAGCTGCCTTCTGGGAGGAAGACCCATGCCTCCCCCTTTCTTCTTTATTTACAGTCTGAAAATCCATGTTGTTCCTGAGTTATGGAACTGATAACTATATAGTCTTTCTCACTGAGAACAAAGTAATTCCACTTTGAAATGTTAGTTGAGATCGTTTCAGAAAGGAAAGTAATGAGTAAAAGTTCCAAATTTGCTATAAGAATCACATGAAATCAGCAGGCAAGACTTTACAGTGGTCAGCCAGGAGTTGCTGAGTGCTCATGGGAAAACGGAAGGGGCGCATATGGGAAGACATGAGCGTGCTAAATCAACACAGCAGAAGCCACAATGCATTTTCACTCAGGGAGACTCCACACTCAGCCAACCGTTCTCACTTCAGATCACCAGCTGGAAGCTGTCACTGGTTCTGTCCAATAACATGAAGTTTGTCGGTGGAGTTAACTGATGAACATGGCCCCTCTTGTCTTTGTGAAGACCAGTTGTGGTTTGTGAGCTGAATCAATCCTAAGGAAATGCACCACCCAGCTCAGTGAGGGGGCACTTGACCTTGCTATGGTCATACCCTACCAAGCAAGTTTAATGTATCAGGTGATGTCAGTCAAAACAAAGACTTTCAGAGTCTGTTAGCCAGGAAAACAGCTGCCTGGCAAAGGGGTGGGGTCATCAGGTGAGAGTTGCATTGGAGGCCACACCCCAGTGAGTCTGAGATGCCGTAAAGTCACGTGAACATTAGCTGTTGTAGTACTGAGAAGTGTCACAAAGCCGAGAAGAGACAGACATTGTGAGCCTGGGAAGGCCGTGCAAGGTCTGCCTGGTAGGTCTGGCCAGAGCGGAAGTAGGGAGAGAGGGGTTATGAGAGGATGACAGATTTGGAGTTAGTAAGAGACCAGATTCTCCAGGGAACCCGCCATTAGCCTTTTTCCTTAGAGTTAAGATTCAAAGTGTAAATAATTAAAAATAAGAGCCCGCTAGAAAGCAGGCTAGGGACACATTTCAGAGGCTCTGGGGAAGGAGAGAGAAATTGAGCACTGAGGGGAAGATGAAAGCTTTATGAGTATTTTAATCAGGAGGGGCTGTTGTTCTCTTAGGAAAACAAGTTACAGACCCCAGGGGTGGCTTTTAATGGTTGAAATGACGTCCCGGTATAGCCAGGAATATCCTGAGGATGAGGACATGTAGCTTTGTGAAGGAGGTAACCTGTCTTCTCGTCGCACCCCAGGGGAAGGACATGTACCTGG